ACGCTAGAGGCCCCACGAGGCTCCCAAGAAGCCCACAGAAGCCCCTAGAGGCCCCCAAACGGCCCCCAAGGGGCTTCCAAAACTGCCTCCAAGAGGCCCCCGAGAGGCCTCCCACGATATCCAAACGAACTTCCAAGAGGCCTCTACCCTACAACCCAAGCACGGTGGCGGAATGGGTCGGACGCCACTAGACAGTCCAAGACGCCCAATACGGCCTCCGGACGGCCGAAAAGGCCCCGACGATACCCAAGAGGCTTCCAAGAGGTCTCCCAACAGAGCTCGACGAGGCAAAACAAAACATTGATGTTCCACGAGTTTGTGAACAGGTTCGGCGTTTACGCCTGTTCTGCTTCCCGACGCTGCAAGACGCCACAAGAGGTTCCGATAATCGTCCCAAGACGGCCCAAGAGTTTTCAGAAGCGCCCCAAGACGACCCTAAAGCGGCCGAAGAGATGTCCAAGACGGAACCGCGGCCCAGGATCGGGAACATGAGCCGAGAACCCGAGATCTCCGCCCCAGGAGGCCCCCAGGAGGCCTCAAGAGGTCCCAAAGAAGCCCCAAAGAAGCCCAACCCAAAAGAGCCCAAAGAGAGGCCCCGAGGGAACCTGAAAAACGGAGAAATCCAACATGTCCCTTATTGTTCAGTTCGCCTTGCAGCCCGACTGCGCTTGCAAAACAGTAACTACCATCTTTCCTTCTCCTCTTTTTCCTCCTTCTCCTGTTTCTCATCTTCCTCTTCCTCCTCCTTCTCCTCAGCATCCTCCTCCTTCTCCCACAGGGAACCCCTTCACCTCCCCTGTTCCTCCCTGTCCTTCCGGCTACGTCCAGCCGCGGCAAAGAGAAGGCCCCACGAAGTGTTTCTCGGGCCTGGTTTAGGCCGCTGTGGGTGGACCGTAGGAAGTCTTGGAAGCCAGGTGTGCCGTTTTCGTGGTTCTTGGAAGCCCCGGAGAAGAAGTATCATAAACTAGGGGTTCCCGAGAGTCCGACCACCCAGCCTAATTAGAACTTGAGCGCGCGCGAAGCGCGCGCGATCTTTCTAGTATATATGTGTATATATAGATGTTCATAAGGAAAAGGAATGGAGGAGAAGAAGGGGGCTGCTATCGACAACCATCGGGAACCCGTGCAGACGCCAGCCATGTGCGCGACGCCCGCGTGGTGCACCGCGCGTGCCAGGGCACCCCCCGATCATCCCTGTCAAATAACGATGCAGGCCGCCCACGATGCATGACGATCATGACGATCATCTCAGTCGCCAGACAATATGCGGGCCGCCCAACCATCCCTGGCACCACGCCATGTAAAGTGATTGCGCAGCGTCTGAACATGACCCAGAGTTTCCCGTAACGTTCATGTTGAATTGTTTTTGACTTGGGTAGCGGGGTGGCCGCATTGGCTATGGCTAGGGGCCGGTAGATATGTGGAAGATTGTATATCGAAGACGCTCACCGCCGCCCCCTGCCTTTTGGGAAGCGCCTCTGCGGCCAAACGTTGGACCCCAGCTTGGCCAAGCCATCGGACTATGTGTTCCCCCAGCCGTTCTGGAAACTCTTGGGGGAACACTTGGAGGAGGATGAGGGAGGAAGAGGAGTAGGAGGAGGAGGAGGAGGAGGAGGAGGAGGAGGAGGAGGAGGACCTCCTGGGCCATTTTGGGCTGTCGGAAGGCCGAAAAGAAGCAAATGCCAAAATCTGTCAAACACCGATTTGGAATCAATGATGTTTGCCTCTTCGGGCCCTCCTGGAGGACCTCTTGGAGGCCTCTTGGGCCGTCTTGGACGCCTCTTGGGGGCCTCTCGGGCAGTCTTGGACCATCTTGGAGGCTTCTGGGGCGGACTCGGAGCCATCTTCGACCCTCTTGGAGGCCTTCTTGAGCCATCTGGAACACAGCGCTGCTCGAGTGTGCCCATGAGTATTTGGGCCGCCAAGAATGTCTGTGGACAACAAAAACGCTGCAGTCGCTTCAAAGGAAAATGACGAGAAGGGGGAGCAGAGGAGGAAGAGACCATCTGGGGGCCTCCTGGGTCATTCGTGGGCGCTCCTGGGAGCATCCTGGGGGTCTTAACGAGGCCTCTTGGGAGCCTCTTGGGGCTCTGGGGGGCCTTTGGGGGTTTCTTGGGAGCCTGTTTGGCCGTCTTGGTGGCGTCTTAGGGGCTTCTTGGGCCGTTCTGGAGGCTTCTTGGCCGTCTTGGAGGCCATCTTGGACCATCTTGGGCGAACTTGGAGGCCTCTTGGGGCCCTCTTGGAGGCTTCTGGGGCCGTCAAGAGATCATCTTGGAGGACTTTAAGGCCATCTTGAGGCGATCTTGGGGGCCTTGGGCCGTCGTGGGCTGTCGGAATACCGACAACACACTTATGTCACAATCCTTCAAACAACGATGGGGAATCAATGATGTTTGCCTTTTCGGGCCCTCCTGGAGGACCTCTTGGAGGCCTCTTGGGCCGTCTTGGGCGCCTCGTGGGGGCCTCTCGGGCCGTCTTGGGCTATCTTGGAGGCTTCTTGGGCGGACTCGGAGCCATCTTCGATCCTCTTGGGCCGTGTTCGAGGCCATCTTGGGCCATCTGGACCCTGAGGCCGCCATTGTCTGAGGATATCCCTAGCGAGACGGCCGTTGGTCAGGCACGGCAACCACCTTCTCCGGGAGGCCGGCGGCACGGATCAGAGGCCCAGGGGAGAGAACGAAGACAAGATTGGCAGGGTCTGGCACGCCAGGCACCCCTGTGATGAATCAACATGGGGCGATCTTTGGGTGCACTTGCGCGGTCTTGGGCCGTCGGAAGGCAGAAAAAAAGCAAATGCCACAATCCTTCCCAAACCCATGTGAAATCAATGATTTTGACCTTTTCGGCCCTTCCAGAAGGCCCTCTTGGAAGCCTCTTGGGCCGTCTTGGGCCATCTTAGGGCCATCTTCGGTCGTTTTGTTGGGCTCCTGGCACGTCTGACGCCGTCGGAAGCCTTTTGGGGGGCCCGACTTGGGGTCCTCTTGGAATGCTCCAGGGCCGTCTTGGAGGCGATCTTGGGCGTCTTGAACGCCTCCTGGGCCGTCTTGGGGGCCTTTTGGGCCGTTCTGGGGCCATCTTGGAGGCCTCTTGGGCGATCTTTGGGCGATCTTTGGGGGCTCTTGGGCCGTATTGGGCCTTCGGATGGCCGAAAAGAAACACATGCCAAACACCTTCAAACACATAGGAAACAACCATGTTTTTGGCCTCCCTGGAGGCCCTTTTGGAGGCCTCTTGGGCCGTCTTGGGCCAGCTTCGAGCCAACTTCGGCCATCTTGGTGGGCTCCTGGGCCTGACGCCGTCGGAAGCCGTTTGGGGGGCCCCTCTGGGCCGACTTGGGGCCCTCTTGGGGTGCTCCAGGGCCGTCTTAGAGGCCATCTTGGGCGTCTTGGAGGCCTCTTGGGTCGTCTTTGTGCCCTCTTGGGGCCGTTTTGGGGGCCTCTTGGGCAGTCCTGAGGCCATCTTGGAGGCCTCTTGGGCGCTGTGGGGGCGATCTTGGGGGCCTCTTGGGCCGTCTTGGGTCGTCGGAAAGCCGAACAGGAGCAAATACGAACATCCTTCAAAACCTAGGAATAACAATGATGTTGGCCTCTTCGGGCCCTCCTGGAGGACCTCTCGGAGGCCTCCTGGGCCGTCTTGGAGGCCTCTTGGGCACCTCTTGGGCCGTCTTGGGCCGTCTTGGAGGTTTCTTGGGCGGACTTGGAGGCATCTCATCTTTTCTTGGGCGGACTTGGAGGCCATCCTGGTCCATCTTGGAGGCCATCTTGGCCGTCTTGGAGGCCTCTTGGGCGCTGTGGGGGCGATCTTGGGGGCCTCTTGGGCCGTCTTGGGTCGTCGGAAAGCCGAAAAGGAGCAACTACGAACATCCTTCAAAACCTAGTAGTTGCACGGGATTGTTCCACGCAGACGCCCGCTTGTTCACGCTCTGTAGCCATCGCTTCTGATCGAGCTGCGCTGGTGATGGCCCTTCTCGCTCCCGCACTTTACCCAGTGCGAGATTGGGCCACCACAGGGTTGTGCGCAGCCAACCTCTGGAACTCGTTCCAGCGAGAATGTCACTGTACGTGCACGTACGCCGCCGAGCACGACAAGGATCTAGTGACGCTGCTGCAGAGGCAACTTGACAGGTGTGGCTCCGAGCAGCTGCGTAGTGCGCCGCCCCGAGACTGCCCTTCGGCGTTCTGGAAGGTCGTGATCATCGGCTGGATTGCAGCGCTGGCGTCCTTCGCGTGCAGGTTCCTGGCCGGTCGACTCCATGGCCGTGGTCCTGCGCAATCCCGAGCCCATGAAGATGACGCTGCGGCAGTGGGATCGGGTGTTCTGCCTGTGCAGCCCGGGGGAGAATCTGTAACACGAGCGCCTGCTGTGCGGGCATGTGGTCGGGTCACTCTGGGCTGTGGCGACGCCTGACGGTGACGTCTATGTCGGGGACCTCAGCGACGAGGATCGCGCTGAGGTCCATCGTGGCGGAGCTCGAGGCGGGCCCCCGCCACACCTGCGCAAGCGGCTGCTCTACCGCTTCGACGTGGACTCGGTCACGCTGGAGGCGCCGGCCGCGGAGGGGGCTCAGCTGGCGGAGCGGGGGCGCGCGGAGCTTCGGCCCCCGCGCCCTCAGCCCCGCTGGTTGGCGGCGCGGCCACGCCCGGCGGCTCAGACGCGGAGCGCGAGGACGGCCAGGCGCTGGCGCCTCCAGCGCTCCAGCCGCCGCCGCGCGTCGGCCCGGGTGGCGCGCCGCTGCCGCCAGTCAGGTTGGGCGGCGGCTGGGTCGCGCTGGAGTCGCGCTTGGGGTTCTCGCGGGGTGCACCGGTGGATGTGGCTCTCGCCGCCGTGCACGCCGGCGGGGGCCGCGCGCTCGCGACCTTCCCCGACGGGGTCATCGCCCTGGGTCGTGCGGGGGCGCTGGAGGAACTGCCAATGTTGCCGCGAGAGGGTGCTGCGGCCGTGCTGGACGAGCGGATCGCGCAGTGAGCGGCACTGGGCAGCGGCGGCGGGCGTTCGCGGAGGTCGTGGCTGAGCAGCAGGAGGCCATGGACACCGAGGAATGGCGCATAGAAGGGCCTGCCACCGTCGGCTGGTTGCTCCAGGCCCACCTGGAGCAAGGCGGTGGGCCTGCCCAGCGCCATTATTGGTGGAGAGATCCTGGGGGGGCTGCGGTGACCGCGGACCAGCTCAACCTCCCGGGCTGCGAGACGTTCGAGCTCGCGGCCAGGCGATTCCAGCTCTGGGAGGAGGTCTACTCGGAGGCCCTTCGTCGGGCCGAGGTTGCGGGGGCTGCTGGCGCCGCGGCCGACTCGGACGGCTGGCTGGACGAGCGCCGCATCGTACTGGGCAGCGCTCGGACAAAGGGCCATGCGCTCGTGGCGCCCTCCTTGGAGAAGCACGTCGCAGAGCGGATGCAGGAGGAGAGCGCCATCCTCAAGGAGAGGCGAACAGGCAGGGGGGAGCGCCGCTTGGCGCGCGGTGAGATCAGCAGTGCTGCCGACGCTGGCGGCGGCGACGGAGGCGGGGGAGGTGGCGCGGGCCCCCAGGGCCGAGGCCGTGGCCGCGGCCGTGGCCGGGGCTAGCCCGCCTCCTCTCCATCGGCTTGCGCGCGGCCGCTGCGGCCCCCCAGGCGGCGGGCGCTATTTCAGGGGAGGGCCGCCGCTGTGGTGGGCGTGGCAGCCTCGGCGCATGGGGTCAGGGACTCGGCTTTGGCGCGTGATGTCCTGCCTCTTCCAGTCGGCGAGTCGCTCGATGAGTTGCTGCGTGGCGCGGCAGCCCGCCTTCTGCCCCGCGGCGGGGGGCGGCGCGGGCGACCGCGGCGTCGGCAGGAGGTGTGGCTTCGCGAGGGGATTGCTGCGCTCAACGACTTGGGCGGTCGCGGCCTCGGCGCGCCAGCTGGAGCCCCAGCCGCGTGCCAGACGGCGGCGGTTCGGCATCTCGCGAAGGTGTGCGGCAGGGATGAGCAGCCGCCAGCTGACCTGACCCCCCTGGGGGCGTGGCAGACGCCCCAGGCTTCGCGGAACGGGTTATGCAGACGCCCTGGCCGACGGCGCAACGACGACCTACAGGAAGGGGGCGATGGCGTTCCCGCGGGCTGCGGCTGGGCGTGTGCGACTCAGTGACGTGCTGCCCCCGCGCCTGCAGTCTCTCCTGTCAGACTCTTCGCAGATGTTACGAGAGCCTGTGGCTCGCAGTTTTGCTTTGGGCGAGGCGCCAAGGGTCTGTGCAATGAGCCCAGTTTTGCAGCGCCACGGCTACCACTATGGGGAGTGCCTTTCGGAGCTGCCCACCGCGGGTGTCATCGAGCGCGTGGGCGATGGCAGCATCATTGAGCGGGCGGGCCTCTTCTTTGTGCCGAAGAAGAACGCGTCGCTGCGCTTGATCTTCGACACCAGGAGGTCGAACGATCACTTTCAGGACCCGCCGTGCACGCTCCTGGCAAGCGGCGAGGCGCTCGCCAACCTGGAAGTTGACGCGGCGCAGGGCGTCGCGGTGGCGTCTGCAGACGTGGGCTGCTGCTTCTACCAGTATGAGCTGCCTCCGTGGGCGCGCCTGTTCTTTGGCTTCCCCGCGGTGCAGGCGCTTTTTTTTCCAGCCTGAGACGCGGCGGCGGTTGGGCATCGCGGACGTCTCTGAGATGGTGCACTTTGTGGCCAGAATGGTTCCCGTGGGCTGGTCATGGGCGGTGCATCTGATCCAGGAGGCCCACGCCCACATCTTGAGCAGCGTCAGTCCTGTGGCGCCGTGGATTGCCGGCAAGGCGCCGACGCCCGCGCTCGGCTCCCAGTGCGCCGCGGCCAAGATGCTGTACATAGACAACGTCGCGGTCTTTACTTCTGGCGGCGGCGACCCGGTCCTCGAGGTTGAGCACATGCTGGCCGCGTTGGACAGGCAAGGTATCCAGGCCTCGTTTGCGACGTGGCGGCTGTCGAGGGGCAAGTTCTGGCGGCTGAAGTTTAGTCTCGACTTTGCGCTGGCGCCTTGGTCACGGGGCGCGAGCTCAAGAGGCTCATGGGCCACGTCGCGTCCGCGGTCATGCTTCAGCGGCCGATGCTCTCCCTGTTTCACGCCATCTATGAGTTCTGCAGGCGCTCGCGTGACAAGCGGCAGCCGCTGTGGAGCTCTGTGAAGCACGAGCTCGCATGCTTCCGAGCGCCCCTTCCTTGCGTGACCGCCTCGCTGAGCCGCACCTGGTGCGAGCGGGCCACGGCCACCGATGCCTCGCCGTGGGGCTTCGGCGTGGTGGAGCAGCCCTGGCCCGTGGGGGATGTTCGCCGTGTTGGGAGCCTCTCAGAGCGCAGCCGCTTTCGAGGCGTCCTCACAGCGGACTACGCGCCACGTGACACGCTGATCGAGCAGCAGCTCCTGCGGGCGCCCTCTGCAGCTGTGGTGGCGGAGGGCGCCCTCACGCATTTTGAGGAGGTGCCCGCAGGGCGGCTGCTGGCGGAGCTTTGGGCTGTGGTGGCAGCGAGGCGTTGGCGCCGCGCGGCTGCGATTCACATCCTAGAGGCTGAAGGTGTGCGCTGGGCCGTTCGGCGTCTGGCTCGGAATGCGCAGTTGCATGGTCAGCGGCACCTCGTCCTGGGCGACAACCTCTGGGTGGTGTGTGCCTGTGAACATGGAAGAGCCGCTCACTTTGCCCTGAACAGCGTTTGCCGTGAAGTGTGCGCTATCTCGCTTGCCACTGGGGTCCAGTTCAGGTTTCGGTGGGTACCCTCTGAGCTCAACCCTGGAGATGCCCCCCTCACGAAGGTTTATGCCAATGTCTCAGGCTTGCCACGAGAAGACCCTTTGCCGCGACGTTCTCGGGAAGGGCCCCTCTTCCGTAGTCATCGGCTCGAACGACGACATCAATGCGGGCTCGGATTTATTGGATCAACCCCGCCTTCGTGGAGCGAAGCCGCGATGGAGAGCAGCCGCAGCTCAAGACGTCCACCCCGCGCTTCTCAGGATCAGCAGGCGGGCGCGAGCCGCTCGGCCCTTCGGGCTCACGCCTGGGCTGGACGTCCCGAGCGCCAGTGATCGCAGGGCTCTCCAGACCCAACGAGCAGTGGGCGCAGCTGTGTCCGCGGCTCTCGCGGCTGGCAGCTGCCAGGGTGCGCCCGGCCAAGGAGCGCGCCTACCTGCGGGCGCTCGCCTCCCTCTTGGGCTCCCGCAGGCCGAAGGCGCTGCCGCCGTGGGCGCCCCCGCAGTGGGGCAGCGTGCTGGTCGGCTACGCGGAGAGGTCCTTCGAGCGCGACATGGGGCGAGAGGTGCTCTCACGCACCCGCTGTGCTGTGACTTGGGGGGCGCATGCCCTCGAGGGCCCCGTGAGGCTGCTCTTCCCCTTGGCGCGCGTGTCGCTGGCAGGCCGGGCGCGTCTGCAGCCTGGGCGCTCCCGCTCGCCGCTGCCGCGGGCGCTGGCGCTGGCGCTGGAGCTCGACTCGACAGTTGCGTGCTTCGTGCCACGACGTCGCTGGATTGGACGTGCCGCGCTTCGCCTGCAGTCGCTACTTCGGGAGGACGAGCTGCTGCTTCGCCGCTCGTGCATGCAGCTCCTAGCCGATTTCCTTTTTTCTCGCAGCAGCTCAGGCTCGACGGTGTGGGCTTCACGCCACGCTGCCTCCGCCGCGGAACCGCAGCCCGCGACCGCGCGGAGGGCGGTCGATCGCTGCTGGAGGTACAACGGAGGGAGATGTGGCGCGCCGCCTCGTCAGACACGTGATGCGGCAAGACGGGGCGTCTGGCTGTAGTCATCCGAGGCCTCGGCGACTCGCAGAGAGCCAGTTGCGAGTGCTGGGCAGCAGCCGCCCCGCAGCTCGTCGGCAGCGCCTTCGAGCCGCCCTGCGCGCAGGCTCGGGGAGCGCAGAGCCTTTCTCGATATCTTCTCTGGTTCGGGCGGGCTTGCCGCTGCATTCAAAAAGAAAGGCCATGCGGTTGTTTCTATTGATCGGTTGCTCGGGCCAGAGTGTGACTTGTTACATGATGATGTTTTTCGTGTCCTGCGTGGTTGGCTCGAATCGGGCATCATATGGGGTGTGTTCTCAGGCAGTCCCTGCGAGAAATGGTCGCAGGCACGTCGAGCCCCGTCGCGCAGTATCATTTTTGACGCCTTCGTACGAGGGAGCATCTTCGTGGCCTCCCTGGCCTCGAAGGTGCCGATCGTCAAGATGTGCTAGATTCTAACAAACTTGCGGACATAATCGCGTCGCTTTTACAGCTTGCGATCTCTCGCCAGCTGCCTGCTGGTGAAGAGAACCCCGCTTCGAGTCTTCTCTGGTTGTTACGCAGTCGCAAGCGACTTTGCAGGCGCGCCAGTGCCAACGAAATAGTGTTTGACTACTGCGGGGCGGGGCGCCCCTGTCGTGCTCGCACCCGCATGGCCTTGGCTAATCTCGCGGTGCCTTCAGAGTTATTGCAATGGCGTTGCACAGGCCGTGGTATTTGTTCGTTCACAGTTAAGCCGCATGTTGTGCTTCCTGGCAAAGCCAAAGCTGGCTTCTTGACCCAGCTTAAGTCGGCTTACCCTCCACGTCTTTGCGCTGCGTTGGCACGAGAGTTCTCGCGCAGCTACCTGGCCTTGCGCGCCCGTCGGCCTTGGAATTTAATGCGGTGATCCAGTGCATTGCTTGGCGGCGGGCTCTTCGGATGTAGGTGGGTTGCGTGGGCGATCCACGCGCCTTCTGTCTTCGTCGCCCCAGCGCTCTCCTGGGACAAAGTGTTGAACATAGTAGTTACACGGGATTGGTCCACGCAGACGCCCGCTTGTTCACGCTCTGTAGCCATCGTTTCTGCCCTCGCCAGCCCAAGGCCTCTATTTGAACTGTTGCGTTTCGCTGCGTGGTTGCGTGGGTTGCGTGGACGATCCACGCGCCTTCTGTCTTCGTCGCCCCAGCACTCTTCTGGAACAGGGTGTTGAACATAAAAACAAATTAGTTTGGCCCCTTCGGGCCCTCATGGAGGGCCTCTCGGAGGCTTCCTGGGCCGTCTTGGAGGCCTCTTGGGCACCTCTTGGGCCGTCTTGGGCCGTCTTGGAGGTCTCTTGGGCGGACTTGGAGGCATCTTCTCCTCTCTTGGGCGGACTTGGAGGCCGTCTTGCACCATCTTGGAGGCCAGCTTGGCCGTCTTGGAGGCCTCTTGGGCGCTGTGGGGGCGATCTTGGGGGCCTCTTGGGCCGTCATGGGGCCGTCGTGGAGACCTCGTGAGCGATGTTGAGGCGATCTTGGGGGCCTCTTGGGCCGTCTTGAGCTGTCGGAATGCCGAGAAGAAGCAATTCCCACAAATCGTTCAATGTTCTGCGGGGAATCATTGATTTTGGCCTCTTCGGGCCTTCCTGGAGGACCTCTTGAAGGCCTCTTGGGCCGTTTTGGAGGCCTCTTGGGAGCCTCTTGGGCCGTCTTGGGCCATCTTCAGGCTATCTTAGGCCGTCTTGGGTACATCTTGGGCCGTCTTGGAGGCATCCTGGGGCCCTCTGAGCCGTCTTGGAGGTCATCGTGGCCGTCTTGGATGCGTCTTTGCCGTCTTGGAGGCCATCTTGGGGCCGTCTGGGGCAGGAAAATCGTTTGCAACCACCTTTTCCGGGTGGCCCGCGGGACGTGCTGGAGCCCCAGGGGGAGTTTTTTTGGAAAAAGAACCAAAACCGAAAGCCACATAATTTGGCACGGGCACCCCTTTGATAACTCAAAAGGGGGCGGCGGATCTAGTCGCCCTCGGTCCATCCAGCCACCGTGCCTTGGTGGTAGGCCAGGGGCCTCTAAGATGCCCGCGGGGGTCTTGGGAGGCCTTCTCGAAGCCTCTTGGAGGCCGTTGTGGTGTGTCCTGGGGAGCATCCCGGGGGCCTCTTGGGGGCCTCTTTGGACCCGATGGGGGTCCCTTGGGGGCCTCCTAGGGCTTCTGATGGTTCTCTTGGGGGCCTGCTGGCAGCCTCGGGGGCGGAGGACTCGAAACGTCGATCCGTGTTCCCTCTTTGTGTACTCTCGAACTCTTGGGGCCCTCTTGGGCCGTCTTGGGGGCGTCTCAGGCCGTACTGGGGGGCCCTCTTAGGGCCGCTTGGGCCGCCGTGGGGCCATCTTGGGGGCCCCTGGGGCCGTCTTGGAGCGTCGGAAGCCTGAAAAGGCGAGAACGCTATAGTCTTTCAAAATCTCTAGGAACAGTAGCCGTAGCCAGTTTGGATCAAGTTCTCGTCTCGCGACAAAACAGTTACACACTCTGTCCATATACGTCTTTAGTGGCCATGGCGGCCATCAAGCTCCCCATAGTCGTGATTGCGCGTCTTCTTCTGCCAACTCGCGGTTGGGACAGTGTGGCCGATAACGAGCCGTCCGACGTGCAGTTGATCCAGACTCGCGTCTACGACCAGGGCCTCGACGTGCCAGCGCATGGATCGACTAGTTGTGTTGACAACGATGATGGCGCCGTACAACTTGCAAAAGATCATGCGCGTGTGTCTGATGTCAGTGGTTGTTCGGATGTCGGTCCGTACTGTGCAGACGCGAACTTTTCGAGCCAAGTTCTTGCAGCGTGCTGCGCCACTTGCAGCGAGGGGCCCAAACCAGAGCTGGACGTGGTGCATTGCCAGGATCATTCTGATTGCCAGGCTTCGGAATTTTGCTATGATGGTACGTGCGACAGCTGCAGCCAATGCCAATTCTGCTCCGATGCTGCTTACGTCGACGAGTGTGGGCACTGCGGGCCAGGGTTCCCATCGAATGAGACGACTCCCTGTCACTCCCATGAATACGAGGTCATCAAGGGGCCGCTTACGGTGACGCATGCATGGAAAAATTTGTCCTCAGAAGAGCAGCTGCTCTTTCTCGAAACAAAGTTTGGCGAGCTCGACAAAGATCAGTCTTCGACCCTGGACGTGGACGAGCTAGTGGGCGCCCTAATCGGAGAGGACCTCGTCGCGATCGAAGCCACCAACGGCACGCTCAGCACCCCCTTTGACGAAGTGCTACTTTCCAGGGCTTCGGTGCAAGAGTTTGTGGAGAAGCACAGCGCACATGGTAGTGCGTTCTTGACCCTCGACGAGTGGCTCGCCACAACTCCTCAGCTGGCACAGCGAGCTGCCCCCCAGAAGGCGTTGCGTGGGCCTTCGTGCACCTTCGAGAGTATCTTCTCACTTCCCAGCACCTGCTCGGAAACACAATGGGTAAACAATTGCGGGAACTCTTGCAACAACGCTTGTACCAGTTGCCCGAGACTGGCGCATACGAATTCGAGCACTGTTGCGCGAGTTTCTCGAGATTCGGGCTCCGTTGCGCGAACGTCTCAACAGCTTGAGTTCTGGGGCGGGAGGCGTCGGCGTCGTTGGTGGGACGCCGTCGTGAATGTGGTAAACACAGTCGTCAATGTGGTCGTGTGCACTGTGAGCTGCGTCACCAACTGCGTGTGGTCGTGTTTCACCGAAGCTGTGGAGTACGTGTACACGTGCGTGGTCGACACTGTCGTGAATGTGCTCATGAGCTTCGGAGAATGTCTGTCAGCTGTGGTGAACGCTGTCAACGATGCGGTTGGTGACATGTGCGGCTTCGATCTCATCCCCACAGGTTGTTCCGGCGTTTGGGATTGCATTTCGGAAGGGGTGAGCAACGCTCTCTCATTCTTCGAGTGTGGGTTCTCGATACTCTTGGATATACTCGAGGACATGGTCATGGCAAATCTCCGCTGTCTGCCGAACATCGCGGACGGCATCAGGGCTGCCCTATTCCCTCCCGAAGCGATAATTGCTACTACAGTTTTCGAGGCTTTGTGGAATTTCGGCGAGAGGGTCGTGAACGGGATCTACTCAGAAGCTGCGGCTGTGAACATCGACTTCTGTTGGAATTCAGCCCCCACCGCCGAATTTACTGACTGTGGTGCCTTCGATTTCGTCAGCAGTATGACTATTTGGGACGTGCTTGACGTTTTCGGGATGGCCAAACGTTTCGCGGATACCGTGGCGAAGTTCACCAATTGCCTCACGAAGAGTACTAGCCTCCCAGGGCTCAGTTTCGGCATCCCCACTCCCTTCCTGAACGTTGATTGGACAGGAGGCTCGTGGTGTGCACCAAGCTTTGTCCAAACTGCGGCCAAAGGTGTTATTGGCGTGTTCAGGTACATAGCTTCAGGACGGATGCTCGATGACCTCATCGTTGTAGGTGACAACCTCCTTTCCAATCTTCAGACGAGGCTGGAAGCAGTGTTCTGTGACGAAGGCGACTTTACCGTCACATTGGGCGTCGACCTCCAGTTCGGATACGCAGTTCTCGGAATCAAGGCTCAGGCTGGATGCCTCAATGGAAGATTCGCCGCCAAGATTGTAGGGTTTGCTACGGGCAGAATTTCCATCTTCGGTTCGCCGTACACGTGGACGCCAAGTGCCTCTGCGTTCTTCAGTATCGGTTGTACGGCGGGGCCCTCCAGCACGGAGTGGTCGTACTGGGAGTCGTCTCTGAACGGCATCCTGGCGTTCGATATTTTCTCGGGGACGGTTTCTCTGCCCCTCTATCCAAAGCCGAAGCTCCAGTTTGGCTACTCGTTTTCGCTCAAACTCTGGCCACAACCAGCCCCGCCCCCCCGCCTGTCGGAGGGGGAGTTCAACAAGACATCGCTGTTGCCGGCGCTGCGCCTCCTCTCTGGGGCTACGTCCGACCCCAGCTTCGGCGAAGAAGTCAAGAGCAAGTTCCCAGACCCCAAGCCGATCCTCGAGGGGGCTCGCAACGGCTCGCTCGAGAGGTCCAACATGAACAGGAGTGCCGGTGACCTCGCCGGCAGGATCGCTATCTCCGTCACGAAGAACTTCTGTTTTACTTGCGACGACTTCGGATCGGAGCCTGCCTGGGTCACGGGCCTCTCCAACATGGCTCAGAAGTTCGCTTGCACTGTGGGCAAGGCGATGGCGGGAGCCTCTTGGGGTGCGCTGAGCCTCGCCCAGTGCTTCGCCCGGGTGACGCAGTGGGAGGCGGCAGGGAACTACTGCGAGTACTTGTATTCCGACTCGCCGAACGATGGGTCTGGCAGCCTGGGGACCACGTGCGCCTGTATGCCGCCGAATGCGATATCTTCTGGGGCTTGCTACGCAGCGGTTGGAACCAGGGCCAGCGAGGGGTCTGCGCAATTCGTGACTTACCGGCATCAGAGGCTGACTTGCGAGACTGGGAGCGGAGCAGCATGCAAGACTTGTGTCACGCCGCAGGACCGAGTGGTGAGAGACCAGTGTGAGACCTGCAACGACGGCCATATACTGCTCGGCTACGTGTGCTCGGCCTACACGCCGTCGCCGACGCCAAATCCGACGCAGTATCCGACGCCAAGCCCGACCCCATATCCAACGCCATATCCGACGCCAAGTCCGACGCCGTATCCAACGCCATATCCGACGCCATATCCGACACCTTATCCGACGCCAAGCCCGACGCCACAGCCGACGCCAAGCCCAACGCCACTGCCACCCGGTGCCACGCATGTTCCGACGCCAAGCCCGACGCCAGAGCCGACGCTGTATCCGACGCCACGCCCGACGCCAGACCCGACGCGGTATCCGACGCCAAGCCCGACACCAGACCCGACTCGGAATCCGACGCCAAGCCCGACGCCAGAACCGACGGCGACCATGGCGACCTGCGTGGACGTTCCAGGGTGGGCGAGCAAGGATGGTACACCTTGCTCTTGGTATAACACGGCCAATGTTTGCACCACTTCTGGAGGCTATGCATCGGGATGGCAGTCTTATTGGGGCACATTTGCAGATTGGGCGAACAATGGATATGACGGTTCGACAGCATGCTGCGGCTGTGGTGGGGGCACGTCACCGACTCGTTGCCAGTACATCGAGATCCCTTCAAATACAGTCGGGTATGTTCAATTGCCGTACAGTAGCAACATTCGAGCTTTGTCAATGTGGATTGCGCCGTACAAGGATGGAGGTTATCCCTGGGAGTACATATTTGACGCACGTACCGGATTGGGCGATGGACATTTCTCGTTTCTCGATTGGTCATCTGGCAGCGCGCATATCCACAAGGGCAGTTATTGGAGAGATACGATATATGTCAACGGAGTTGCCGCTACTACTAGCACCTTGGTTGCGAGTGTCAATAGTGCCACGACCACCTACGCACCGTGGATTCACCTGTACGTATCGTCAGACAGAACTTTCGGCGACGATATAACGGTGTTCGCCCGATACTCGCTCAATGAGAATTTGCCTGGAAAGATCCATTCTGTGCAATTGTGGCCGTCTGAGTTGTCCTCTTCTGACATTTTGGCCGCGGCTTCGGGACAGACGACATCAGTAACGCCCACGCGTTCCTATTCCGCGGCAGATTTAAGGTTGTACAGATCGGGGACCGCGTCCCTCGTCGCCAATCAGGTCGGCACTACGCAGTGCCCGCCAAGCCCGACGCCAGCCTCGACGCCGCATCCCACGCCGAACCCGACGCACAGCCCGACGGCACACCCGACGCCGAACCCGACGCGCAGCCCGACGGCACACCCGACGCCAAACCCGACGCGTAGTCCTACGGCACACCCGACGCCAAACCCGACGCACAGTCCGACGGCACACCCGACGCCAAGCCCGACGCCGTTTCCGACGCCAAGCCCCACGGCAAGCCCAACGCCGTCTCCGACAGAGTATCCAACGCCAAGCCCGACGCCAAGCCCGACGCCGAGCCCGACGCCAAGCCCGACACCATCTCCGACGACAAGCCCGACGGCAAGCCCGACGCTGTCTCCGACGCAGTATCCAACGCCGAGCCCGACGGCAAACCCGACGGCAAGTCCCACGCGGACTCCGACGTCTGCGCCCACCTATCCCCCGCTCGGGGACGTGCATGCATCAGGTACTTGCAGCTGCTCCAGCCCTCCCTGCGGATGTAACTGTTGGGATTGCACAGAACAGCGTCAAGCTGCTGGATGTTGCAGTTGCGAAGGTGGGGAGAGTTGCGGATATGGCGATACAATGACTTTATGCGACGGTTGTATGGGTTGTTGGTACAAGGGCAAATGTGGTTGCAGTACAGATTCAGTTACTTGGCCCTTCTATGATGTGTTCGGTCTCACGTGCTCGAGTGATGCAGGCAGCTACTTGTCCTACCACGCAGTGCCACCGACCTCAAGCCCGACGCCAAGCCCGACGCCAAGCCCGACACCGTTGCCACCCGGCGTCACGTTTTCTCCGACCCCGAGTCCGACGCCAAGCCCGACGCCAAGCCCCACGCCAAGCCCGACGCTATCCGAAACTCAGAAAACTTGCGGCTGCTCGAACCCACCCTGTGGTTGCAATTGTTGGGATTGCACAGCAGCGCGCAAAGCTGCTGGATGCTGCAGCTGCGACGATGGCTGTGGCTATTTCGATCTCGCAAATTCTACATGTGACGGCTGCATTGGTTGCTGGCACGGCGGATTGTGTGGTTGCAGTACAGATTCCTCAACTTGGCTCTACTATCGGGCATTCGGTCTCTCGTGCTCCAATGAAACGGGCAGCTACCTATCCAATCACGCAAAGATTGCTGGCGAGTACTCCGCGGAGGAATCTCTTCCAGACGGCGTGACTGCCGAGGACCTCATGAGTTCCACAACCTACGTGTCCGCCAAGAAGACCGGTCTGGCTAATGCTCTGAACGTGTCCGTTTCCGACGTTGAAATCACGGGCTTCGCCATCACGACCCATCCCGATCGGCGCCCCGCTGCTGTCCGCCAGCTATCGCGGGACTCGCACGTCACCGTGACCACGAGCTTCACGGTGGAGATCGTCGGCAGCGAGAGCGCCGCGTCCCTCACCGCCGCGATCTCTGCAATGGCTGACACCATTGAGGCCGAGACGAACGCAGCTATGGCTGCTTCTGACTGGAGTACTGAGCCGGTCATTACCGTGGCCCCTACGCTGACGGCTCCTTCAGTGGGCGCAGCGGGCTCGACTGCGGGCGTTACCATTGCTCCCACGCCAGTTCCCGTCGTCATTGGGGCCAGCATGGCCGCCGTCGCGGCCACCGGCGACCCGCACCTGCAGAACATCTTTGGCGAGCGTTTCGACCTCATGCAGGCCGGCAGGCACCTCCTGGTCCAGATCCCGAGGGGCGCGCGCACCGAGGCCTCCCTGCTGCGCGTGGAGGCGGAGGCGCAGCGGCTCGGAGGGTCGTGCGCGGACATGTACTTCCAGGAGCTGAACGTGACGGGGAGGTGGGCGGACGAGAGGCAGGCGGGCGGTCTCCGATACCGCGCGGCAGAGGCCGTCGCGGAAGATCCCAGGTGGGTGCAGTTTGGGAGGGTGGGCCTCAAAGTCGTGCGCGGACGCACGCTGCAGGGGATCCCCTACCTCAACGTCTACGCGAAGCACCTGAACCGAGCCGGGTTCTCTGTCGGAGGCCTGCTGGGCGAGGACGACCACAGCCAGGAAGCGACCGCTCCTGAGGGCTGCAGGCATCGTCGGATGAGCCTCCTGCAGAGAGAGGACGGCCCGAGCGTGGCCGCCGTCTCCAGCGTGGAGCGCAGCTGGGCCAGCCTGGCGTAGGGTGCGCTCCCAGTCCCTCCTGCTCCTCCTGCTGCTCCTCCTCCTCCTCCTCCTCGTGCTCCTCCTGCTCCTCCTGCTGCTCCTCCTCCTCCTCCTCCTCCTCCTCCTGCTGCTCCTGCTGCTCCTGCTAATCGTCGATTCCCTAGAAAACATGAGAAAATATGGGAAGTGGAGGGAAAATTGGGGGAATCCTGTGATTTGTGTGTTTTCACTTGTGTGTCCCAGGGCCCCTTCACCCTTCTTCTTCCCCCCCAATCCTGCTCCGATCATCCTTTCTGAGCTGAGCGGCGCTTCCTCGTGCTGAACGCGCACGTTGGCGCCCACTGGCCTGGTGCGGACACGCACGGCGCCAGCTCCGCCCCCCACATTCGGCGAAACCGTACACGTCTGGCTGGGTTGGCAGCTGCGCACCGATGCATTGCTACTTCTAGGCCTGCGTCCCTCTCCTCGTCCCCGTCCCCTTCCTCTCCTCGCGTTCCTTCTTTTGGTCCTTTCCACACTCCCTTCACTTGTCATTGCCTCCTGCTGCGCTCACCCCTTTTTGAGCTGAGCGGCGCCTGCTCGTGCTGAAACACACGATGGCGCTCGAGGCAGCATACAAAATCATCTGTAGGGACAACGATGATCGTGGCGTCTCGGGGTCCACTCGGGGGACCTCCTGGAGCACCCCTGGGGCGTCTCTTTGGGTCCTCTTGGGCCGTTCAGGGGCCGTCTTTGGCGTCTTTGGAGCGGCCTTCGGGCGACCCGGGGCCCTCTTTGGCCGTCTCGGAGGGCTCTTGGGGCCTTCTTGGTCCGCCTTGGAGCCCTCGTCGCTCCATACAGAGGGCCCTCAGGGACCCGAGGACACTCCGCTTCGAGCCTCGGGACACGGTGGCGGATTTACAGGGGGCAGCGATAACCCCATCCCCGAAGGGGAAGACGGGGGGTTGCGGTCGGACCGAGGCATACGATCTAGGTCGGTTCGGGGAGGGTACCCCACTGTTGTTAGTGTTTGTTGGATGTTTTTCGTGCATCCTGCAGGACGGTGCCCTTGAATGCTCTTCAGTTTGCCCGGCAGAGTGTCTCACGTTCTTGAAGGATGTTCGTTTTCTCGGGTCTGGCCGCATGGGGGCAGCGATAACACCCATCCCCGAAGGGGAATAATGGGGGTTCGAACAGGAAGCGCCTTAGACTACTAGCAGGGAGCGTTTCCATCAGCGTGCGTGCATGTGTCCAACTTCTCTTTGAGGCAGTGACTATGTTCCAGTTGCGGGACTGCTCGTTGTGATGGTTTTCGTGTCTTGTCAGTCAGTTTCGCAATGTATGAAGGCCTACTCGTTTGATTGTGCGATGTGGGAATGCCAGAAAGTGTTCTGCAACCTCTGCAATCATGCTGTGTTTGCTTTTGCATGATAGTTCCTGTTCCAGTCGTCCGAGTCTGTCGGCAATATAACAATTGTGGTTCAACTTTTGCCGACATCTCCTTCTCCCATTCCCTCTTCTCTTCTTCCTCATCGCCTCCTCACTCCCCGGTTATTTTCCACTTTTGGCTCATGTCGCTTGGCTGCCAGCTGTATCTTGACGCTTCGCGCATCCCCACCAGCCCATCCAGAAGCGATCAGCAGGGGAGTTGGTAAATCAGGGACGGCTCTTCGCTCAAAAAGAGGGGGGTATTTAATTCAGGCCCCTTCCCTCCCCTCTGAGGCCCAGAAGGGGCGCCTTGGGGCCCTCTTGGACCGCTCTTGGGGGTATCTTGGAGCTCTCTTGAGACTCTCTTGGGGCTCTTTTGGGGAGTCGGGGCCCTCTTGGGGCTCTTTTCGGGGGTCTTTGAGGCCTCTTGGGACCGTCTTGGGCCCCTTCGCTCAAAAAGAGGGGGGTCTGAAATTTAGCCCCCCCCCCCCCCCCCTCGGAGGCCCAACTGGGGCGTTTTGGGGCCCTCTTGGGCCGCTCTTGGGGCGATCTTGGGCGCTCTTGGGGCTATGTTGGGCCATCTTGGGGCCAGCCTCAAGAGCCCATCGGAAGCGAACAAGCGAAAGGCACAGCACATTGACTTACCTTAGGTGTTGAACCCATGTTGGCCTCTTGGGAGGGTCCTTGGAGGGCTTGGAGGGCACTGGAAACCGTCTTGGGGCCGTCTTGAGGCCTCTTGGATGCGTGTTGGAGGCTATCTTGAGCCGTCTTGAGGTATCTCTGGCGATTTTCGAGGCCGTCTTGGGCTAGCTACAGCCCTCTTGAAGCTATCTTGGACCATCTTGGACGCTCGAACCCCTCGCGGGGAAGCCCGTCCAGACCCAGGGAGGGGGGGGGGATGTAAAGCTCCCGAGCAGGGAAAGGAAATAGGTTAGAAAAGAAAGCGCTCTAGACCACCGCTCTGGTGGGATATGGAGTGGGAACATATGGGGGGAGGAGGCAGGTAGGGAGCAGGAGGATGTGGAGGAGGATGATGCAGGAGGAGGATGATCGAGGAGGATGATTCGTGACAAAAGAGGGGGGATGAGACGGGGTAACGGAGGAGGGGGGGGGTAGGCAGGAGAAGAATGACGATGATGATGTTGATGATGCTGCTGCTGCTGATGATGATGATGCTGCTGCTGATGATGATGATGATGATGATGCTGATGATGCTGATGCTGATGTTGATGATGATGCTGATGCTGCTGCTGATGTTGCTGCTGATGATGATGATGATGGTGGTGGTGGTGGTGCTGATGATGATGATGATGATGGTGGTGGTGGTGGTGATGATGATGGTGATGATGATGATGATGATGATGATGATGATGATGATGATCATGATGATGATGATGATGCTGATGATGATGATGCTGATACTGATGCTGATGCTGATGCTGATGAGGATGATGAGAAAGAGCGTGTTCTACCGCTGCTGTCGGAAAACCGGGGGGGGGTCACTACTGGCTTGAACCCCTTCCCCCCCCTCTGGAAAACCGGGGGGGTTCATTACCGGTTTGAAACCCTCCCCCCCCCAGTCCATCATGAAAAGGGGGGGGTCACTACCGTTTCGAACCCCCCCCACCCTCGAAAACCGGGGGGGGTGCGGACAGTGGTGGGGACGGTGGTGGTGGGGACAGTGGTGAGGGGACAGCGGGACAGTGGTGGGGACAGTGGGACGGTGGTGGGGAGACGGTAGTGGTGGGGACAGTGGTGAGGACAGTGGTGGGAACAGTGGGGACAGTGGGACAGAGTGGTGGGGACTGTGGTGGTGGGGACAGTGGTGTGGGGACAGAGGGAATGTGGTGGAAACAGTGGGACTGTGGAGGGTACAGTGGTGGTGGAGACAGTGGTGAAGGCGGTGGCGAGGACGTCGGTGGGACAATGGGACAGATGTGCAGTGGGGACAGTGGCGGGGACAGTGGGGACAATGGTGGGAACAGTCGGACAGCTCAGTGGGACAGCGGAGGAGTCAGTAGGACAGTGGGGACAGTGGGGATAGTCGGGCAGTGGTTGGGGCCGTGGAGAAAGTGGGGAGAGTGGAACCGTGGTGGGAACAGTGGTAGGGACAGTGGGGACAGCGCGACAGTGGTGTGGGCACTGGTGGGGACAGCAGGGACGGTGGTGGAACCAGAGGGCACAGTGGTGGTGAGGACAGTGGTGCTGGGAACAGCAGTGGGGGATAGTGACCGGAGTCGTTTGCTGGCGGTAAGGCGGGGGTGTGGGGAGGGGTTCGAACCGGTAGTGACCCCTCTCCGGTTTTCGAGGTGGGGGGGTTCGAACTGGAATTGGTAGTGACCCCCCCCGGTTTTCGAGGGGGGGGGGAGGGGTTAGGAGAGGGAGGGGGTTTTGCCGGTGGATGGGAGGGGGGGGTCCAGCAGGAGGGGGGGGATTTTCGGAAGGGGAGGGGGGGCGGGCTCCGGAGGAAGAGGGGGGAATTTTCAACAGTAAAGCGGCGGTGGATCACGCTCTCCCTCTCTCTGTCTCTCTCTCTCTCTCGATGATGATGGTGATGATGATGATGATGATGATGATGATGCTGATAATGATGATGATGATGATGATGATGGTGACGATGATGATGCTGCTGATGCTGATGCTGCTGCTGAT